AAAAAGAGCGTTTTTCCCCACCCAAAGTTTGCCTTAATTACACTTTCCCACCTAAAAGTTTCAAAATTCCACTTTCCCACCACATTTTATTCCATTAATGTCCAAAATATATTCACTTTCTCAATCGGCGTTTAGGAGTTACCAAGAGCAAAGTAAAAGGGCTTGTAGAGTGAAGGCCGATGGACGGAATGGTGGTGACCAATTGAACATTCATCTTGGAATAAGTAAAAAATCAACTAAAGCAAAACTCTAGCTTTGCAGTAGTCACAGTCGACAAAAATTAGGTACAGTAGTGAGAGGGATTTTGTAGAGAGAAAATTGGAGTTCAATTGGTGATGACAAGATAATTTTCACTGCTAGATTCAACTTTAGATAGTAACAGAATATCAATTTTGGGTGGAAAAGTGGTATTTTGAAACTTTTGGGCGGGTAAGGGTCATTAAGGCAAACCTTGGGTGGACAAAGTCGTTTACTTTAAAGAAAAATCCGATTCCTTACCAAGAATTTTCAATTGAACTGTTCCACTGAAATTTTTTCTTAAAAAGTAGTGTTGTAAATTTGTTTTATTTTCTAACATAAAAAGTACGTATTAAGATAGGTACAAATAATGAAATGCAAATGCAATTTTCTCTATGTGATTGATTTGGCTCAAGCCCTAATCTTGAGTATCCTGGTGAAAGGCTCCAAGAGCCCACTGCATTTCCCTGTTGATGAGATTTCACAACACGTAATTTCTCCAGCAAATAGGATTGAGCTGAAACAATGTTTATATGTATAGAGATTAAAAATTTAAAGACTATCTAATAAATTATGATTTATGGTCAAGAAACATATGAATAGTAACACAAGTGTGTTAGAACTATTTTGCTCTTATAATTATTTTCATTAAGGTTAATTTTTCAAATAGAAAAAAGAAAGGGATATTTAAGCAAAAAGTAAACATCATTCATCATATAATCAATCCATGGATTGCATCTTTCGAACGTTTATTAGGATTTACACATAAATTCAAACTCAATCAGTGTTCACACTTCACAACAACCATTTCACCTAAAGGATTTTTCTTGTAGATGATGGTAGGGTTAAAGCCATGCAGCTCTCAAATAATTCTTGTTTTTAACCAATCAATAATTTGCGACATTTGAGGTGACAACTAAGCTATATTCATGAGTAAATATAAAACAGAGAAGGATCTGTAGTTTGTTCGCAATCACTCTGGAGCTTCGAAATTGATGTGGCTAGTACTTACAACAGAAAGCAAACAACCTTTTGGGTGTCTACCAGCAGCTAAAGTATATACTTCTCACAGACAATCTGCATGGTTAGTCTAGATTCTGGATTCTCATCTAAGCGCAATGTGGCCACCTCCAAGATGCATTTCAGTTTTTCCTCAACTTCAAGTGATGGTGCTGGGAGCCTTGAGTCTAGTGTGTCTATATATATATATCATTAAGCTCAATGTCCCATGTTGGGAGGCGAAGCTGAAAGAGATGAAAGAAAATCTCCAGGATGTTTCCCTATGATCACTTCCAGTGTTAAAACTCCAAAGCTATGCACATCACATTTTTCAGTTACCTTCATTGTGTAACCAAGCTCTGAAAGTGAAAGACATATATTTTGAATATCACCCATGCATGTACATCCAATAAAGGTTAGAATGAATGAACAAATACCTAGTGCAACATATCCATATGTGCCTGCAAGTACTTCACTCCAATTTGATGAGTCTTGCTTGAGAAATTTGGCAGTTCCAAAGTTGGAAACATGAGCTCATATTCATGATCTAGCAACACATTCTTACTTGATATGTCTCGATAGACAATCTGTAGACTACAATCATGGTGCATATAAGACAAAGCTTGAGCCACTCCTTGTAAAATGTTTGTTCTCTTCATCCACAGTCCACTCTAGCTCTGTTGCTGCTTTAGCTCTCAAAATTGTAGCCAAACTACCTCTTTTCTAAGTACTCGTATACTAAGAATGAATGCTGAGCATTTGAACAAGAACCATGAAATTTAACAATATTTTGATATTGTAGCTTTGTCAATGCCCTTATTTCACTTAAAGACTCATTTCGATCTACTAACTCATCAATAGATAAGGAATGAATTTTCTTTATTGCTCTAATATCTCCTGATGGTAGCTCTGCTCTGTAAACACTTCCATGTCCGCCCTTCCTAATAAGGTACATGTTGTCAAAATCCTTGTCACTGTTATAATTTCTTCATACGCAATTCCTTCAAAAGTTGATATTGAACAGAATTCTTCCCTGTTAGTACCACTGCTTTGTTTTTGTGAGTTTATCTTCCCTCTTCGAAACTTNAACACTTCCATGTCCGCCCTTCCTAATAAGGTACATGTTGTCAAAATCCTTGTCACTGTTATAATTTCTTCATACGCAATTCCTTCAAAAGTTGATATTGAACAGAATTCTTCCCTGTTAGTACCACTGCTTTGTTTTTGTGAGTTTATCTTCCCTCTTCGAAACTTGAAAAAAATTACAATCGCCACAACTGAAAGAGTAAGGACTACTTAAAGAGGAAGCACAATTCCAAACAAGATTAATAGGCTTTTCCCAAAGACTTGTTTATGTGACATGGCAGCATTGCAAGGTTGTAGTCCGTTAACATCATCCCACAATGCTTTATTCCCTTGTAATGCCTCTATAGGAGTTTCTTGAAATGTTTTACTCTTGGGGATTGGACCCTCCAACTTGTTATAGGATATGTCAATGCTTGACAAGCCATACATATCAGCAAAACAGTTCGGAATTGTTGGAATTTAGAAGGCAAGAAAATCAAGTCTCTAGTTTCTAAATTCTAAATAAGAACTTGTGAAGTTAAATTTCACTTCATTACTTTTTCTTAATATTTTTTCATAATACATTCATCTTACAATCCCTTTTTATAGATTTGTAAAGGAATGAGATTTCATAACTTACTTAACCGTTCAAATATAATTAAACAATAACTGAAGAGAAGTTTAAATATAACTGAAAGTAACTATAAGTTAACCCAATCTAAAACTGTACTTCATTGGCCATTGCCGCAGCACTTTTCTTCCGCACGGCATGCTGCTTTCTGGAATTTTTCCAGAACAGATTACTTCTTGGCACCGCGACAAGACTTTATCTATGCTGCGGCATTCTTCTTCCGCCGCAGCATTCTTTTCTCTCTGCTGCAGCATGCCACATTCTGGACATGTTTCATCCTCTTGCATCTGCTTCTTCACTGCATGCCTTTTCTTCTGCAGCAGAATCTTCATCATGTACTAAAATGATTCAACTTTCTATGGGAATAAAACCGAAGAGCCGAAGAGATTATTGTGGGACAGATTGAACTTTTCCAAGCTCTTTAAATTGCATATTTGATCTGGTATCACTCCTCCAAGCAAGTTGTGACTCAAATCTAGCTCCGACAAATGCGCTAAATTTCCCAACTCGACTGGAATTTCTTGGCTTAACTGATTGTTGCTAAAATTCAAGTGGTACAATTTTGATAAGTGCCCAAGATTTGTGGGGACTGACTTGCTCAATCTATTAGCAGATAAGTCAAGGCACTCAAGTTTGGAAAGTGAGCCAAACTCATCAGGTATACCACCAGAAAGTTGATTCCCCTTAAAATTCAAAATGGTTAGATTAGTTAACTTTCCGAGTTAAAAGATCAAATTCATGTAGTTTAGGAGAGTTTCCAAACTCCGGAGGTATGCTCCCGGTAATACTATTCCCTGAAACATTTAGCGTGCCTAATTGTGGACACTTTGCCCTGTTGCTTGAGACTTCTCCGTAAAGTTTGTTTTGACTGAGACCTAAAAATTCCAAATTTGGATAATTGCCAAATCTTCAGATATGTTTCCAGTGAGCTGGTTACGTTCTAGGCGAAGTCTGACTAAAGTTGTGCAACCGTAAATCTGTGGGGATTGGACCAACAAAATTGTTGTCACGAAGAGATATATCCTCTAGGAACCTACTTGCACAAATAGTTAGGGGCAAATACCCAGAGAAATTCTTCTGTAACACTAATAAACTTTTTGAAGTTTCCAAATTTCTCGGAGGAAGGTGCCAGAAAGCTTATTCTCTCGGAGGTGCAAAATTTCTAAGTTGCTTAAATTACCTAAAGAAAGAGGAAGAAACCCAGAGAGTTTATTTACGCCCAACCCGAGAAAAGAAAGAGATTTTAGGTTTGCTATCTCATCAGGAATGGGACCTGAAAGAGTATTGTTGCTGAAGTACAGCATCATTATGTTACTAAGATTACCAAGGGAGCGAGGAATAGGAGTATAGGACCATCAAGTTGATCTTATCCAACCATAGATAAGAAAGAAACTTCAGATTTCCTATCTCGGACCAGAAAACTTGTTTATGTTGAGATATAGAAGTTCCAAGTTGCTCTTATTTCCCAAAAAAGAAGGGAACCACTGAATTGAGTTTTGGCTCATCCATATATGAGTGAGAAACCTCGAATTTCCTGTCTCCCAGGGAATGGAACAAAAAAGCTGGTTCTTGGAGGTTTAAAATTTTCAAATTACTCATGTTACCAACAAACTGATTTTAGCTCAGCCCTAGATACAAAAGAGAGTTCAAGTTTTCAATCTCCAAAGGAATAGAACCAGAAAGTTTATTATGCTTTAGGAAAAGACAGGTGAGGTTTCTCAAACCACCCAGTTACGTTGGAATCAACCTACAAAAATTGTTTGTATGTAACCTTAGATTGATGAGAGATTCCAAATTGGCTATCTCTTGGGAATGGAACCGGAATGTTGATTGTTGAACATGTGCAGCACAGATAACTTTCTTAGATTTTGAAAGCTAGAAGGGATCGGACTGGTTAGATAGTTGGAATCTGTGCAAAGTTCAACCAAATTAGAAAGGTTTCCCAAATTTGGAGGAATGGTGCCAGAAAGTGAGTTATTATAAAGATACAACTGAGCCAGGTTGCTCAAATTGCCCAAAGAAGCTGGGACTAGGTTGTTCAAATGGTTATTGTACAAGGTGAGTTCAATTAGAGAACTTCTTGTAGAATTGAACCATTTAACTGATTATCAGCCAGATAGAGAACCTCTAGGTGTGTTAGGAGGCCAATTTCTGGAGGTATTTTACCGGAAAACTGATTAGCTGACAAATCAAGGTATTTGAGTGTCGAGAGGTAACCAATTTGAGGTGGGATGGTACCAAAAATTTCATTCTTTCCCAGATCAAGGTAAGCAAGACTGGAAAATAATGAGAAGGAGAATTCATGTAGCGTACCTTTTAAGCTTGTATTAATCAGGGTAATACTAAGAACACTTCCGCTATGGTTGCAAGAGATTCCAGTTTCGGACGAGTAGAATTGGTTGCATTTACTTGTAGAAGGTCCACGAAGACAAGAAAGACCGGCTCTGGTTTTGAAGACTGGCTTTCCATCTGAGAAGAGCCGCGCTTCTTCAGTAGAACTAGAAGCAGTATAAAGTGGACAATGGAACACAAAAAAGAGGACAAGAGAAACGAGTGAAGATACTCTGTTTAAGGTTGATAACCCCATGGCTTATGCTGTTATGTACTTCAGATCTGTTTGATTCTTTGTTGGGCTTGAATTAAATTGAGGCGTCGATGGGTATTGTCGGATCTAGCTTGTAATTTGACTATTTGACTCAAATTTTGATGTTAGCGGTTCCACAGAGACTGATTGGATGGTATTCATTTATCTCTAACAATGACGGAGTCTCCGAAAAGAAATCAGTTTGAACATATTTGTAAGTAGATAAGCTAGAAATTTTATCACCTGCCCTGTATACCTAGAAAAGAACGTAATTTGAAAAGAAAATAGAGTTTAAATTGATGGTATATGCAATGAGTACTCAGATGAGCATGACCAGCTAGATTTCAAAAAAATAGGAATTATTAAAAATAAAGAAATAAAAAAAAAAAAAAAAAAAAAAAAAAATCTCCACAATTAGCTTCTGGAACCATTTAAGACTTATCTAACTTTAAATCAGTACATATGGAAATTGGAAAGGCAGGTCTCTGATTGTAGATTCAATATGTAAAAACTGAATGAATAATACTAGCTGTACAAATTAATTAAACGAATGAATGCATATAAAAATCAACTCATTAAATGTTCAACAAATATAAATGAATGACTTGTCAATAAAAAAAAGTAACACTATATTCACCCAATTCAAACTAAAATTGATTCGATAGCAAGTAAACAACTGAGTAATACACAGACACACAAAGAGATATAAGCTAATTCTGCAACAAGCCTGTTGAAATTGATCTGATTGACAGTCCAAACAATATAGTACATGCATGCAACAGCTATATGATACTTGATGGTTGCGTCACCCAATTTCTCAAGGAATATTAATATCAACTGCATCTGTCGTGCAAACAAAGGTGGATCCACTCTTATGGCAACCTTTTCAGTCCCGAACATTAAAAATCAAAAAAGTTCGAAAAGAATGGACATGTTAAAAGTTAAAATCCTCTCTGCTATACAGCAAATTATAATAAGTTTTAATTAATTCTTACCAATCAGGACATCAATAAAGAAAGTTGGGATATCAGTACTCTTTGAAGTTTGAAGTTAAAAGGACCAACAGCAAGGCTATCCTCTAGCAATCAGCGTAATCGAACCCACTAACTGAAACATATTATAATCTCCATTTGCAAGTTCAGTAAACAATACACAAAGAGGAGAACATAAGGCACTAGGTTGTGTCTAACTTCAAAAATGTGTTCTGCATGGTATGGCAGTTTAGCATAAATTACCATCAAATCATGTACTGAGTATTTCACTCATAATAAACAAGTAGCAAATACACGTTCTTCCTTGTGGAAGCAGATACACACAACCCATCAAGCGAAAGAAATATCTATCACATTGTATGCTGCTTCATGCTTCCTACAAAGTAAAAATACCAACATAAACAGTTTTAGCCCTAAATTTAATGATGCGATCTGTAACTAAAAAAAGTGGATAAGGGACTCACATGAGCATTGGATCTACGTGGAGATGGACTTGGAGAAACAGAGCGCCGACCATGTGGCGACACACTTTTCAGAGCAGGAGAGTGTTCATTAGGGTTGCGTCCAACAGGACTTTCACCCCTATGAGTCTTATGTGGAGATGGGGCCCTCTTAGAATTGGGACTATGCCGAGCAGGGGAGGCGCTTTAAGATATAAACATTTTCCAAACAATAAGAAACTACAAAACCCAATTTAATGACGAGGAAAAAAACATATAAATAAACATCTAATACCTTCCATAAGATTGGCTTCGACTGTGTCTCTCTTCATCATATCTGCCTCTCCCAGAGTGTTTGCGATGATCAGGACTAGGACTGTGGCTGATGCTTCGGCGACGATGATCTCTTTCCCTCCCACTGTATCTGTCACGATCATATCTATCCCTGCTTCTACTGCGGCTTCTCTTCCTGTAATCCCTGTCCCTGTCCCTGTCCCTGTCCCTGTCCCTTCCCCTGTCCCTGTCCCTGTCCCTGTGTTCATCCCTATACCTGAACATATATTCCGTCAGTCAGTGTCCACAGCAGTAAACTGTGTCTGTATATTCCAGCAAAATGATTGATATAGATATTTTTTTTTTTTTTTTTTTTTATCAGAGGCATTCATAACAAATGTAACGAATAAATGGTAATATTAGTAACAAACAAATGCTTGAATTCAGTGCTCTACTTCATAGCATAAAAAGGTTTTTTTTTTAAAACACTAACATGGTAGATGTATCACAAAATCAAGCTGCACCAACAGCACTTTAAATTATAGCATTAATGCAGCACTCATATTATATTACTCACAGAGAATCCAAGTCATGCACTCATTAGCATACTTGCATCTAGTTTCATATTATATTACTCAGAAGGGAAATCAAAGTCATGCAGTCATAAGCATATGCATAGATGCAAGTATGCTTGCAGTGGAAAATACTTCTCAGTATGGGGCTCACCAGAGCCCAAAAAAAAAAAAAAAAAAAAGGGTCAATCTGTTCGTAAAGATGTATGTAACTAGCATGGATAGTCATTTCAAACTTGGTTTAAGATGTGAACGGACACTATCTATATTTGGGGAAATGCAGACAGAAGGAACGTCATTTTGGAGAGAGTATTTTAGGGTAGGAAGGCATTCAGAATGAGAAAACTGTTAGGATCCCACATTAAAGGGAAAATGGTGGGCATGTGATTATAAGCTTGCCACCTTTCCTTGGCAAACTGGTTTTTCAAGGAAAGTTCTACCTAAGCCCATGAAAGACCTATGGCCTAGCCCATTTGCTTGAGTTGGGTTCCTATCAATTAGTATCAGAGCATGATCCTGCATTTACGTGGCAATGCATGCGTGGCAAGCTGACCCGTAGCAAGCTGACCTTGGGCCCGGGCTGCTACCCTGAGAAGGGCATGGAGACCCAAGGGAAAGGGGATCCACATAGTCACCCAAGGGGTAAAGAGGCCAACGTGGACGTCAGTTGCAAAAGCATGTTGGAATGTTAGGATCCCACATTGGAAGGGAAAAAGATGAGCATGTGGGTTATAAAGGCTTGGACACCCTCCCTTGGCAAGCCAGTTTTCCAAGGAAAGTGCTCCCCAAGCTCATGAAAGACTCATGGCCTAACCCATTTGTTTGAGTTGTTGAGATGGGTTCCTATCAATCAAATGAGCTAAAAGTAAGGGCAATATTCCAGCACCAACCATGTACCCAACATAGTAAGCCAACTACTTGTACCATCCCATTAAAAACAACCACTATTTAACTTGTCACCCAAATGCAAGCGCTAAAAGAAAACTACATATGATACTCTTAACTTTTTACTAAAATCTAACTTCAGTGCAAAAATATTAGTCATAAGATATTTCTGATATTTTTCATCAGCATTGAAGTTTCCAAGGGAAGTAACTGAAAGGGCAGATTGAAAGTTTTAAGGGTAATGCAACCAATAAAATCAAAGAAAAAAATTGTTTCACATGTACTAACTATTAATCAACCAAAGCATAGATGAGGCAGCATAGATGACAAAAAACCAAAATTTGAAGGACAAAAGAACATGCCTGTTCTACACTCTCATTTATATCCCATCACATTAGATGTTCATTTAATTAGACCTTTCATATTTTTCAGTTCTTTGACAATACTTTAGATATCACAGATAATATTTAGATCTATAAATGCAGTAGGATACTATCTACTCAATCTGCCATGCAACTAAAGTGTCCTAAACTTAAAGCAGCCTTCTTTTCAAATTAAGGTCTACAATGATACACCCAAAATCATGAAAATCGTAACAGATGTAGCTAAAATAATGATGGAAGTATCCACATGACAAACATCAGCAATAACCACACGAAATGAGATGCAACATCAATAGCTTGTTCGGAAAGAACTACCCTTTTGAAGCATGCGCCTAATGGCATGGCCCGCATAATGGAAAAATCATCATTTTGGTCCAAGAATAAATGTCTATGAAAGTTAGTTCAATAAAATCCTCAATCAAAGCACACACATTTAACTACTCAAATTCCAAGACAAAATCACTTTCCTGTTGATGGGTAATCACAACCAGAGACTTTGCTGTTTTAGTGTATTACAAGCCAAAACTAACCACTATGGCTTAATACACCGCATCAAAAGTCCAATTAAAACAGGCATATTCTTCAAAATGATCCTGACCTTGGACGAGGACTGCGGCTTCTTGACCTGCCTCCCTCTTTTGAAGTTGTCTCCACTATCCTCCCTTTCTGACTGAAAAAAATTAAACAGAAAGGACTCAAATAAACAAAACGCCTGCCAAATTATAAGTATAGTGCAAGAAACCAGATAAAATTAGGTTCAAAACAAAACTGCGATTGCAATTCAAGCAAAAAGATATTTATTCACTAATAAAAATAAACAATTAATTAAATAAGCACCACTCACATTCGCTCAGCATTTGGACCGTACTTGGCGAATTGAACCATAATCTCTCTTCCATCAACAACTCTTCCTAAACATAAATGTTTAGAACCAATTATGAATTGTCAAATCCAAAATCTTTGTATTGGAAAAAGAAATCTCAAATCTCATTTCATTATGTGATATTAAAAATAAATAAAAACAAGATAAGGAAGTAAACCATCAAGCTTTTCCACAGCCTTTTGTGCCTCGTCCGCATACTTGTATCGAACGAAAGCAAAACCTCTCGAGTCACCAGTCCTGCACACACAAAAGAAAAGCATTTATTGAGGGGAAAAAAAAGGTACAAACATACATATGTATATATGTTTAAAGATTAAAAAAAGACCTTCGGTCCCGGGGAATGAAGACATCGACGACCTTCCCGTACTTGTCGAAGAGAGGAAAGAGGTCGTCCGCGGTGGTGCCTAGGTTAAGAACACAAAAAGACAAAATGAGAATTAAAGACGAAGATATGATGTAAAATGAGGGATAAAGCCAGGGAAAATACGGAAAGTAATATTAAGGACGAGGAGGGAGTAGGTGTCTCTGATGTCTGGAGGTCCTGATTTCCCGAAATGCGACATCTCGTCTCTGCCACTGAGTGAGCGCGAGTCTGTGAGAGACTGAGAGAGAGGAGCTAGGGTTTGAGTAAAGTTACGATGACGAATATGCCCTTTGCGCAATTTTTTACTTTCGGTAGTTTTTGTTTTTCCCGCCAATTGAATTTTGTACAGATAAAAGTATTTAATTTGAAAGCATAATTAGAGATTCATAAACGAATGTCTATTTACTTTTTATTGGTTGAAAACTTCAAATCCAAAGGTAAGAATTTAGTTAATTACTTCTGGGTTGCTGAGCGGTTTGATAAAAACTCTTGGTGTATTACTTAAGAGATTTTGAATTCTGAGTTTTACCTTGATTGCTAATAAAAGTAATTATTGAAACTCTTATCCGACTAATAATTTTAGGACTCAAAAGATTAATTGAGATATGCGTAAGCTAGCTCGAACACCCCTAATCATCAAAAAAATAAAAATTAGTTACACAACTCACTCTGAAGCCAAAATTGTTTAAATTCAAAAGTGAATTCTTGAATAACAATTTTAGATGATGTGGCGCATGGCTTATGATCTCTAAGAAGGCTGCACAGCTACGACATGAATTTAGCCAACAACTTCCTCAACTGTTAATAAAATTCTTAATTGACATAAGATTCTCTCACAATTTATTAACGGTATTGTATTGACGATAAACTAATATTATTATGTCATTAATTCTTATTTATTGAACATTTATTATATTTATTTTTTATTACTTCATTTTCTATATAACAGTTTGTTTAAGGATGAAGAGACTAGAGGGTGAGTGGGGGACTCATGCGGTCATGCCTTACTGAACTTATAAAATTTCAGTTATACCCTTCTACTCCGTGTTTTAAGTTTTAACAGTGAGAGGGCGTTTGGTTGGAGGGTTATGTGGGATTACTAGGGTTAAGTCATCTTATATTACTTGACAACCAAACATAATAATCAAGTAATATAAGATACCGGTAATCTTTAAATATTAATAGTGGTTACTATTAGTAATATTAGAGGTAATCTGATTACTTACATTTTCTTAGGTATTCTAATATTACCAAGGTTATCTTTTTTTATTACAATTTTATCCCTTATTAATAAAATTTTAGGACAATAATGCCATTATTTTTAAATTTATTTACATAAATATGTCTTTTACTATTTCACCCCAATTAATTAACTTTTTTAGACAAAATTACCCTTGAATTCAAAACAAATTGTAACCCACTCAAGCCACCACCCCAACCCACCTGCCGCCGGCAACCGCCGCTGGAACGGCGACGGAAGGCCGAAAATGGCTGTCGTACACCAATATGGCCGTTGACAATCAGATCTAATATGGCCGTCAGAGGCCAGATTTGTCACATCTGGCCATTTCCGACCAGATCTCTGGCCGAAAATGGCCATACGATGCACGGAGGCCAATTCCTGCCTTCCGTGCGCCGTTAGGTTGTCGATGGCCTGTGGTGGTTGCTAGCGGCCAGCAGTGGCTGGGTTGGTGTGGGTGCTTTGTTGATTTTCCAAACTTTATATTATGGGGTTGTTTTTGCTAAGTTTTTAAATACAGGGGCTTATAATAATCAATATTAAAAAATAATATACTGTAATAATAATATTTAATTAGAGGACAATTCAGTAATTTAAATAACATACCCACCAATTTACTCTTTCCAACCAAACACATTAATATAACATGCCCACCAATTAACCAAACACATTTTTTTAAAGATTCCCAGTAATCTTCAAGGTAATCTAACTTTCCAGTAATCTAACATTCCATGAACCAAACGCCCCCTTAATACCATCCTTAATTTATTTTAAGTAGCCTAATCCTGCATCATCACAACTTTTATTTTATTTTTTTTAAATCTGAAATATATTTTCATTTTCATTTTTCTTTTATCTTATTAACAGGGTATACCAACAAAAGAGCTCCTAGTTATTATTATTATTTTTTCCTCTTTTAACCTTATTTATTTTAATGTATTTTAAAATTTGTAGAATTAGCTTATATTATTTTCTAAAACTATAAATGATATGTGTTTGGTTATTAGAGATGGGTGTTTGCCCCGGCCCCATGGGGATCCGGACCAACCCGGTCCGAATGGGGCGGGGAATCCCTGAAAAATTTGTGAATAGGGCTGGGGATGGTCCTCGAAAAAATCTCCGCACCCGGGGAGGGGATAATGCAATCCTCGGCCCGACCCGACCCGTTCCCGTGAAGGCCCGCCCTACTTTTTTGAGAATTTTATGTTTTTTTTTTTTTGTTCCCTTTGCGAGATTGTATATAAAATTAGAGTTTAAATCATGGTTTTAAGTAATGTATCTAAATTTATGATATTTACTTTTATAGTACTTTCTAATGTTTGTATTAAATTTATAGAAAAATAATTTAAACGAGGGAGTATAATAATTAAATATATGTATAATTACTTTGTGAATTTCACAAAATAATAATACATGGCCCAAAATTTTTTTTTATTAGATTATTATAATTTATCAAACCAATATATCATGAGGTTTATGTTATAATGGATGATTTGAGTATATTATGAGGTTTATTTTGCAGCCTGAATGATGTTTATATTTTATTGCTTTGAAATCCATGAGCATGTTTCAATTTTTGCCAAAAAATTGTTGTTATTCACCATATTCATGTCAATTCTCAAAGAAATTTTCTTTTAGGTATTTATTTTATGAATTTAGTAAATGAGACTATTTCAGTGGAACACTATAATGCCTTAACAACATAAAACATCAGAATGTATTAGAATCTAAATTCCTCTATTTAATACTACATAGAAAATGTGTCACTAACTTAGTAACAATTAAATTAGTTTATGGTGGTAGTTATGTATTATTTTTTAAATCTTAATTTAAATTTTACAAGAAATTGTTGATTTTATATTTTCTTACCTTAAATTTAGTTTTTTGAATGAATTAACTACTAAAATTAAGCAGTCAAATATAGTACTACTAAAATTAAGCAGTCAAATATAGTACTACTAAAATTAAGCAGTCAAATATAATACCTATTAACGTGCTAGTTTTTCATAATTAAATAATTATAATAGTTTAATATCATTGTTGTGAGAATTTGCAGAAAGTTTTTATCTACACGAGACAAAAATCCTCATTCAGGGGATAAATCTCTGCAGGAGAAATTCTCTGCGAAACCTTGTTCATCAGGTCAAGCCAGGACGGGGATTGGAGTGATTCCATCCCCACGGACAGGGGATAGTTATGAGAAAAATCCCCACCCATGGGGACGGGCCGGGGATGATCATGGGAGTGGGTAACGGGAACGAGGATGGGGAATGGGTTCCCCAGCCCGTGCCCATCCCTATTGGTTATATTCATTTTCCAAAAACTAACCATAAAACTAACTGTTGAGATTAATGGATAAATGATAGTTTCATGCACATATGTTACTTTAATAGCAGAACATATGTGACATGGTGATAGATATCTAATATTTATCTAAACAACAGTATAATTATTATATTGAATCCTAAAACATTTTTTGTTATCAATCAAACACATAAAATTAACACAAATTTACTTAACGTATTGTATTGACATACTAATATTATTATGTCATTAATTCTTATTTATTGAACATTTATTATATTTATTTTTTATTACTTCATTTTCTATATAACAGTTTGTTTAATGAAGAGACTAGAGGGTGAGTGGGGGACTCATGCGGTCATGCCTTACTGACCTTATAAAATTCAGTTATACCCTTCTACTCCGTGTTTTAAGTTTTAACAGTGAGAGGGCGTTTGGTTGGAGGGTTATGTGGGATTACTAGGGTTAAGTCATCTTATATTACTTGACAACCAAACATATATCAAGTAATATAAGAACCGTAATCTTTAAATTATTAGTGGTTACTATTAGTAATATTAGAGGTAATCTGATTACTTACATTTTCTTAGGTATTCTAATATTACCAAGGTTTCTTTTTTTATTACAATTTTATATCCCTATTATAATTTGAAGGACAAAAGAACATGCCTGTTCTACACTCTCATTTATATCCCATCACATTAGATGTTCATTTAATTAGACCTTTCATATTTTTCAGTTCTTTGACAATACTTTAGATATCACAGATAATATTTAGATCTATAAATGCAGTAGGATACTATCTACTCAATCTGCCATGCAACTAAAGTGTCCTAAACTTAAAGCAGCCTTCTTTTCAAATTAAGGTCTACAATGATACACCCAAAATCATGAAAATCGTAACAGATGTAGCTAAAATAATGATGGAAGTATCCACATGACAAACATCAGCAATAACCACACGAAATGAGATGCAACATCAATAGCTTGTTCGGAAAGAACTACCCTTTTGAAGCATGCGCCTAATGGCATGGCCCGCATAATGGAAAAATCATCATTTTGGTCCAAGAATAAATGTCTATGAAAGTTAGTTCAATAAAATCCTCAATCAAAGCACACACATTTAACTACTCAAATTCCAAGACAAAATCACTTTCCTGTTGATGGGTAATCACAACCAGAGACTTTGCTGTTTTAGTGTATTACAAGCCAAAACTAACCACTATGGCTTAATACACCGCATCAAAAGTCCAATTAAAACAGGCATATTCTTCAAAATGATCCTGACCTTGGACGAGGACTGCGGCTTCTTGACCTGCCTCCCTCTTTTGAAGTTGTCTCCACTATCCTCCCTTTCTGACTGAAAAAAATTAAACAGAAAGGACTCAAATAAACAAAACGCCTGCCAAATTATAAGTATAGTGCAAGAAACCAGATAAAATTAGGTTCAAAACAAAACTGCGATTGCAATTCAAGCAAAAAGATATTTATTCACTAATAAAAATAAACAATTAATTAAATAAGCACCACTCACATTCGCTCAGCATTTGGACCGTACTTGGCGAATTGAACCATAATCTCTCTTCCATCCACAACTCTTCCTAAACATAAATGTTTAGAACCAATTATGAATTGTCAAATCCAAATTCTTTGTATTGGAAAAAGAAATCTCAAATCTCATTTCATTATTTGATATTAAAAATAAATAAAAACAAGATAAGGAAGTAAACCATCAAGCTTTTCCACAGCCTTTTGTGCCTCGTCCGCATACTTGTATCGAACGAAAGCAAAACCTCTCGAGTCACCAGTCCTGCACACACAAAAGAAAAGCATTTATTGAGGGAAAAAAAAAGGTACAGACATACATGTGTATATATGTTTAAAGATTAAAAAAAGACCTTCGGTCCCGGGGAATGAAGACATCGACGACCTTCCCGTACTTGTCGAAGAGAGGAAAGAGGTCGTCCGCGGTGGTGCCTAGGTTAAGAACACAAAAAGACAAAATGAGAATTAAAGACGAAGATATGATGCAAAATGAGGGATAAAGCGAGGGAAAATACGGAAAGTGATATTAAGGACGAGGAGGGAGTAGGTGTCTCTGATGTCTGGAGGTCCTGATTTCCCGAAATGCGACATCTCGTCTCTGCCACCGAGTGAGCGCGAGTCTGTGAGAGACTGAGAGAGAGGAGCTAGGGTTTGAGTTAAGCTACGATGACGAATATGCCCTTTTCTCAATTTTTACTCTCGGTAGTTTTTGTTTTTCCCGCCGTATTTAATTTGAAAGTATAATTAGAGATTCAAAAACGAATGTCTATTTACTTTTTATTAGTTGAAAACCTCAATTCCAGAGGTAAGAATTTAGTTAATTACTTCTGCAATTTGATAGAAACTCTTCGTGTATTATTTAAAAAATTTTGAGTTCGAGTCTTACCTTAGTTACTAATAAAAGTAATTATTAGAACTCTTATCTGATCAATAATTTTAAGATCCTAAAAGATTAATTGAAGTACGCATAGGCTAACCTAAACACCTATCTTCATCAAAAAAACAAAAAATTAGTAACACAACTCTGAAGCCAAAATTGTTTAAATTCAAAAGTGAATTCCTGAATAACAATTTTAGATGATGTGGCGCGTGGCTTATAATCTCTAAGAATGTTGCACTGCTACAACATGAATTTAGCCAACAACTTCCTCAACCGTTAATAAAATTCTTTAATTAACATAAGATTCTCTCACAATTTATTAACAATAATTCTATATTTACAAGTAAATCTTACAAAGATTTACATATAAAATAAGGTATCAAAAAATGAATAAAAAAGTCAAACAAAAAGTCAAACTCATTAAATTGACTCTTTTATTTATTTTTTGTCACATCACTTTGTATTAAAATCTTTTTAAAATTTCTTTATAAGTATAACATTACTCGTTTATTAATGGTATTTAGTATTGACGATAAATAATATTATTATATCATTAATTCTTATTTATTGAACATTTATTATATTTTTTTATATTTATTTTTTATTACTTCATTTTCTACGTAACAGTTTGTTTAAGGATGAAGAGACTAGAGGGTGAGTGGGGGACTCATGAGGTCATGCCTTATTGAACTTGTAAAATTTCAGTTATACCCTTCTATTCCGTGTTTTAAGTTTTAATAGTTATGGGGCATTTGGTTAGGAGGTTATGTGGTTAAGTCGTCTTATATTATTTGATTACAATGTTTGGTTGTCAAGTGATATAAGATACCGATAATCTTCAAACACAAATAGTGGTTATTATTGGTAATATTTGAGATAATTTAATTACTTCCATTTTCTTAGGTATTTTAAGATTACCAAGGTTATCTTTTTTTATTACATTCTATCCCTTATTAATAAATTTTTAGGACAATGATGCCCTTATTTTTAAATTTATTTACATAAATATGTCTTTTACTATTTCACCCCAATTAATTAACTTTTTGGATAAAATTACCCTTGAATTCAAAACAAATTGTAACTCACTTAAGCCACCACCCCAACCCACCTGCCGCCGAAATGGCGCACGGAAGGCCAAAAATGGCCATCGTGCGCTGATATGGCTGTTGACGGTAAAATCTAATATGGTCGTTAACGGTCAAATCTGTCACGTTTGGCCATTTCCAGCCAGATCTCTGGCCAGAAATGGCCATACGACTCACGGAGGCCATTTCCTGTCTTCCATGTGCCGTTAGGTTGTCGGCAGCCTGCGGTGGTTGCTGGCAGCCGGCAATGGCTGGGTTAGTAGGGGTACTTTGTTGATTTTCCAAACTTTTATTATAGGGCTGTTCTTTCTAAGTTTTTAAATGCAGGGGGTTATAATAATCAATATTAAAAAATATATATATACAGTAAAACTTCTTTATAGGGATACTCTATATAGGAATAAACTCTACATAGTCATAAAAAATTCTAGTCTCAATTTGGGATAGTTATAAATAAGAATAAACTCCACATTGTAATAAGTTATAATTTTTCTAATTCTCATCTTAAGGAAAGTTGCCTCCACATAGTAATAATTATATGTATATTACCAAAAAAAATCTATTTTATGTTACATTAAAAGTTTAAGATGAAATAAAATATTTATCTAAAGTTATTTGGGACAAGGATTTATATTTTAAAGTTGTTACTACATCTTTTACCTTGTTAGTATGTAATAACTTGCTAGCATGGACACCTTCTTGTTAAAGCCAAAATATTTTTAGCTTCTCAAGCCTGTTTAGAGCTTTATGGCACAAATTTTTTTGTATTCTCGTACTATCATCCTTAGGATTATTTCCTTTATCTTCTTGTCTAATTGTAGCAATGAATTCTTCTTTTGTTAAAGCATACACAATTTGTTGCTCATTTGGATGATCGAGAAAGACATTAATATCCATTCGATTAGTGTAATAAAATTGTTAAATCTGATCACTCAATTTTGAAATGACTATTTTATTTTCTTGTTAAATTTGATCACTTAATTTTACAACGACTCTTTTATTTTTCTCATCCACTTCATTTGTAACATGCAATTCATCAAAATTGGGGGTCATAATTTTACAATGCTTAAAACCATTGGCAATTGTATATAGCTTCACATCAATTGATCATGCATCAACTGCATTTATAGTTCTATCAATGACACTTATATTTGCCGGTTATAAGACACAGTCTTCTATTCATTTCAAAAATAGGCAATTGAAGTGCTGAATTGAAATCATAATACGGTAAAACCTCTCTATAGTGATACTCCATATAGGAATAAACTCTACATAGTCATAAAAAATTATATTCCCAATTTGAGATAGTTATAAATAAGAATAAACTCCACATTGTAATACGTTATAATGTTTTTAATTCCTGTCTTAAGGAAAGTTGCCTCCACATAGTAATAATTATATGTATATTGAAAAAAAAAAATGTTATCTTAGATTAAAGGTTTAAGATGAAATAAAAATATTTATCTAAAGTTTTTTGGGATAATGATTTATTTTTTAGAGTTGTTACCACATCTTTTAACTTGCAGACACATTACTCGCTGACATTGACATTTTTTAGTTGAAGCCAAAATATTTCTAGCTTCTCAAGTATGTTTAGAGCTTCTTGGCACGAAACTTTTTGTATTTCCATACTATCAACCTCATTATTATTTCTCTTCTCTTCTTATCTAATTGTAGCAATGATTTATTCTTTAGTTAAAGTATACATGACTTGTTGCTTATATAGATGATTGAGAAAGATATTAATACTCATTCGATTAGTATAGTGAAGTTGCTGAATCTGATAACTCAATTCTACATTGACTCTTTGATTCTCCTCATCCACTTCATTTGTAATTTACAATTCATCAACATCGGGGATCTTAATTTTGCAATGCTTAAAACAATTGACAATTATCTGTGGCTTCACATCAATTGACCATACAGTAACTGCATTTACAATTCCATCAAGGACACTTATCTTTGTTGGTTCCAAGACACAATCTTCTATTCGTTTCAAAAGTAGGCAATTGAAAGGCTGAATTAAAACCTTAATACTATTAAAACATAAATTGAAATCCTAATATTGTATTATTAAAACATGTATTATGAAATAAGAAATTTTTGTAACTACACTTCTATTAAGCTATAACCTCCTTATAGTAATAAAATTAGTTAGTCCCACTATTATGACTATAGAGAGGTTTTACTGTATTGCTGAAATATGAATTGAAATCCTAATATTATACAACTAAAACATGAATTAAAAAAAAAAGAAATCAAAACTATAATTTTTGTAACTACACCTCCATTAAGTTATAACTAGGGCTGTGAAAAAAAAATCGTTAACCGAACCAAATGTGGTAACCAAACCAAACCCAAAAAACAGGGTACCCAAAAATTTGGGTCGGTTTCTGGTAATTATAACGAGATACTCAAATTTTCGGTTCGAGTATCGGTTATTTACTTTAAGATAACTGGGTACCCGTTAACCGGTTTTATTAAAAAATAAAAAAAATAAAAAAAAACGGAGTTTTTTAATTTTTTGTTTACTTTCAATTTTCAAAGAGCAAAACCCCCAAATACCTTATGCCCTAAAATTTTAGCTCGTCACTACGTCAGGTCTCGCACAGCCGCACTCATCTCTCTCACTCTCAAATTCTCCAGTCTACATCTACAGTCTCCACTCTCCACTAAAGTCTAAAAATTCTCCACTAATCCACTGAAATTTTCTTCTTCAGACTGCAAACTATAGAAAGTAGAAACACTCCAACTGCTTCTAAATTGATCTCAACATTGGGCTTCACTTTGCCCCAGCTCCATCACCTTTCTGCACTGTCGTCGCTATCGCCGACGCCATTGGCTTGATTTTCAGTCTCCATCTCCGAGGTAAATATTTTAAGTCACAAGAAACCATAAGTGGTAAGTAGAGAATAATTTTAAACTGACAGGCAACAGCCACTTATCGTAGAAAAAACAAAAAGAAATGTATTTATATGGTAAAAGTCTTCAAATTTAGAAACAAACCTGATAGACCTTGGCTGGATCATTGCTGACCATGTGTTATATATGTCACTAGGTGCTTCCGGCAAAGGACCAGATGTTGGACCTTTTGAATTGGAGTAGTGCAAGATGGCAACTCTAGTCACTTTTTGCCAAACTAATTCATTCACAAATCTAGCACTGGCCACAATGTAATAATCAGAAGTTGCATTCTGATCCATTGTGACTAAGAACGAATAAGATTGACACACATGAGTTTCAAAGCTGGTATAATTTTGTTGCACTGTGTAATTTTAATCAAATTCGGGTACCTGCAAAACCGGGTATTCTGAAAACCGGTTCAGTTTGCAAGTACCTTTTTAGGGGTACCCGAATATTCGGGTACTCGGTTTTTGGTCAAAACCGGAGCGAGTACCCGGTTTTGCATAGCCCTAGTTATAACCTCCTTATAGTAATAAAATTAGTTAGTCCCACCATTATGATTATAAAGATGTTTTACTATGATAATAATATTTAATTAGAAGACAATTCAGTAATTTAAATAACATACCCACCAATTCATTCCTCCCAACCAAACATATTAATATAACATAACCACCAATTAACTAAACACATTTTCCTAAGGGTTTGCTTGGGAGTTTTTTTTCCATTAGTTTTGAGGGGTTTTTAATCAGACTGGTTTTGAGGTGTTTTTAAACCAATACTTGTCGGATTTTTTATACACTGGT